ATTATTATTACTATTATTATTATTATTATTATTAATTAAAGGGCCCTCTCATCTTTGTCCTTGCACCGAAGTTTTACCAGTCTTAAAAACGCGCCTGTATGGCTGCGGCGAGTATCAAGAAGCTTTAAAACTTTTTTACAAACAAGTACAAAAAACATTTTTTCCTAAAAAACAAAATTATTGAAAAAGATATTGCAAATTTTTTTTATTGAGAATTTTTTTTACCTCTAAAGTAAAGTGTAGGTATTTATCACGTTTATTTTTTGTTTGTCTTGAGTGATATATATAGTGATATAATATATATATATAGTTTATATAATTTTTATTTGTATGTAGTTTATATAAAAATTTTTGTGGTTGATATAAATATGTTTATATAAAAATTTTATATAGTTTGTATAATTACAATTATGCAGACTGTTAGGAAAACAATTTTTTTAATATAAAATTTTCAAGAAGTTTTTTAAGTTGCAATTAGAAACTTTTCATGGATTTTTATTTGAATTCAGGGATTTATATATAAGTATATGATGTGAATAGACTTTCTGCTATTATTGTTTTTTTCCACTGTTTTTTGTTTCTATTCAGTTCCTATTTTATGTGATAATAGAAATAAAAGAAAGAAAACTAATACTTCAGTTCCTATTTCATGTGATAATAGGGAATTAATATATATTTATGTATAAATAGAATACTACGTATGACATCATTTCAAACATGGTTTATAAGACAAAATGCAATAAATTATTACAAATTTCAATTTTTGTTTTATTGAAACACTTTTTTTTACGTGAGAGAAATCCTCATGGACACTCTCGTCCCTAGAGAGAGACGAAGGTAGTGCCGGACTCTTACCGGTTAAAACTCTCACGATGGCCTTCAAGTGACGTCTTAGAAAAGGCCGCGGAACTCCTTAGCGGACTCTGCATTTTTTTTTACGCCTTGAGCTCTCGCCCTTTCTATTTGATGAAAAGCAATCTCTCGCCGTGGCGGAAAAAAGGGCCACAACCTCTTCCACGTGGTTTTGGATCACGTGCAATGAGGAACGTGAGTACGCCTGTAAACCCCCCGTGTAGCTCAATATAAAAAAAAAAAAATTAAACGCTTCACGATTTTGCGTGTCGTCCTAGCGCGGGGGCCGTGTGACGTTTAAATTTTAGTATATATAAATAATTTTATACCATATATAAATAATTATAGTTACGTATACATAATAGAGTTATATTGCATTTACGTAACAAAAATTATTGATTGTATATAACTGCAATATTACATGTTTTATTACATGTTATATCTATGAGTGGGAAATAGTAACGTTGCAGTAATATATATGTAACTTTCATGTAATATTATCTGTTATAATTATTTCTGTTGTAGTTATATAACATTAATATAACTGTGTTTGCTGGGAATATCACTGAATGCCATTAACATATTAGTTTTAAAGTAATTGATTGTGAAAGTTTCAATGGCTAAATTGATAGAGTGCCCGCTTGGTAATCAGAGGGTTCCAGGTTCCAGGTTCGAATCCAGTCGAGATGATTTCTAACACAATGGATTTTTTCTACAAGGTAATACTAAGACAACATAGAGAATAACCAAGAAAACTTATTCGAGAACATAAATGAAGAATCTAAGTTATTTTTTTATATTATAAATGTCATTTTGCTATCAAATCGTGTTGCGCAGATCTTGCTTCATATTTACCCAGCAAACATTTCGGTCACAGAACCATATCCATCTGTGTCCTCAGTAGGATATGGTTTGTTAACCATGTCTGTCAACATGTGAAATGTCAAAATGCGACCAAAATGATGACAGAGTCTGCCACAAGCAAAGCGAGGCCAAATTATCGCCAAAGTGAAGCCAAAATCCGGAATAGGTTTGGTCATNGTCTGTTGGCGCCAAATTGCAAACAGTCCGCACGTATANACNAACAGACNTGCTTGGCGTTTGNTGGCAATCTGTCGTCAATGCGTTTAACAGATCAACCCGACTTTTGTCGTAAACAGATTTCTGATACAATTTTGCGGACTGTTTGGTCACAGTATTCCCAAAAGCAGATCTGCTTGCAATCGACCATCTATTTGTTGTTAATTTCACTGACATATATGGAATCGTTTTGGCTGCAATACTCTTATGTATTTGTCAACAGAGTTGTTGCGTTTTTTCTTTCTGTGTGCTAACAATTTTGGCGGTGTTTCTGTATTGTAGCATTTCTGCAAACAGTTTCTGTTACCAAGGTCTGCGCCGAAATTGTCAAAAACATAAATTGTTTGCTGGGTAGCGTCAATTTGGTCTCAAGTTATTGAGTATATTATTGAGCTTTGCTCGCAATTTTCTGTTACTTTTTGTCGACAAGCTTTGGCAACAAAATCGAAGCCTAATGCGGACACAGTTGATGCCAATTTGCTGAATATTTTTGCTTAAAATTGTTGACAATTTGCTGGCAAATTGCGAACAAATTGTTTACTGGGTAGTTTTGCAAATGGCGTTTAATCGTAAAAAACTATTCCCTTGAGCGGATTCTCTCCCAATGAACCGTAAAAATCGGGACCATTTTTGTATCACGGAGTTTGATCTCCTTACTCTTACTTCGTACCACAAACTTAGCATGGAATAGAACCATGTCCACGAAAAGCTATCGCAGAAACTCTTATGGCCGTGGCCGCTCTCAGGCTTCTCTCTGCATTGAGTGAGCGGTTTTAGTCATTCTCTTGTTATTCATTCTTATTATAGAATTAAAAGTAAGTACACGATTTTTGTATGAATCGTGTATACACTACATAGGAAAAGTATAATCTTTGGAACCAATTATCTCACGTTCAGAACGGTCAATCTTTTTAAAACTTGACCAGCGTGTAAATATTACATTTATTAACGTGTATCCAAAGTTTCAACTTTTTCTTGTTAAATGCGATTCGCGCTACAACGTCCTTAAGTTCCCATTGGTTTCCAAACTTAAAAAACATGTTTTTATATCCTGTAAAGTATCAACAACAATAATCTACATGTATTTTACTTCCCGGATGATGGGCAAAATTCGGTACGTTTTATTGACCTTCCTTTAAAAAACCAATTTGAAGAAAAGACTATAAACTTTAAATTGGTTATAATAAAAGTTTTAAAAAAATTGTTTATCGTCCATGGACTATATCACAATTGAGTATTTTTTTTTTTTTAATTTGTTCACTGTTATGTTCAAAGTTCATATTGGAGGAAAATCGTTTTCAGCTCAAATGGTTCGATGCATCTCTGAAGCTTTAACTTTCAAAATGCTTTTTCATTTTTCTTCTTACGACCATTTCCCGTGATGTTATATAGGTTTCAATTTTAGGTATTTTTTATACAATTAAAAATGATCTTCTAATTTTGATGCGGAATGTATATTTAGATAGCTATTTAAAATATAAATAAACTGTGAAAATTTATTTATTTAGTGCCAAACGTTTTGACTGACTGTAGTTTACTACATATAAAGTTTATAGGCAGTGTCTATATTTGTTGTTTAAATTTATATATACATTTATCACATATATATGTATAATATAAACGTTTAAAATATAACAATTTGTGATATTTAGAACACTGTTTCAGTCAATTCGTATATTATTGAAGTTTTTAGATCGCATTTGTATTGTCATACCATAGTGGCATCCATTTAGTTGGTGTTTTAGGTTTCTTTCGCGATATCGGTATGACATTAACATTTCTGTTGATGTGATTCGAGCAAGATATGTCTGTTTGTGGTTTTCGCGTGTCTTTTAAAGCGTTATCCAGGACGACAAAGGGATGATCGATGCGACGATTTTGTCTGTTCTTGCCAAAACTGGGCGAGTATGGTTTAGCTACGTCATTCTGAATCGCAGTATCGGTCGAGGAGTTACATGCTTTTTCGGAAGACTGTTTTAATTGACTGGAACTTTGCGACTCGTTATCAACGTTGCACATGTGCAGTCGATATGTTGGACTAACATATCGCGCAGTAATAAGTGAACGATCCACCAATTCCGAGCGTGTTGATCTCGACGGCATTGTGACTTGATTAAACCTGTAATTTCTGAAAACACAACTTTGCAATTATTCGAATAAAACAAACTTATTTCACGTGTCAGACCAGTAAATTTAAATATACCTCGTGCTGATAAGTGAAGGTGGTTTCCATTTATTCTTTTCGTCGATTCTCGTGTTTAGCACACAAAAAGCACTTTCCGGGATGATTATATCGTCGTACTCTCTGTTATTGTTATCGTTCAACTCATCTTCGTTTTTTCTTGTAGCGCTTTGATCACACTTACGATAAGTTGTCTTGAAGTCATTAAAGCTTCGATAATCGTATTTTTCACAGTAAGAACTCTTACATTCTGACTGAAAATAGATGATGTTATTGTTTAGCCGCAGATTCGTCAGTTTATCTCTGGACTTTTACTATTTGGTACACAATCGTTAAAAAAATACTGAGATCTCACCTCACAAGTAGGTTCATACTTGAATGTAGGATAGTCTCTATCATAAGTAGAACTATCAAAGCATGCGCTATGGCGAGTGGAAGAATAGGCTACTGTTGGTCGCAGTAACGACGATGATTTACGATATATAGGTTGATCTCGCGGATAGTTTTGATGGTGGGACTGATACTCCGGATCTTGGTCTATCTTCGCAGAGAACTTGAAGAATGGCGGTGAGAATACTTTTGACCCATCAGCACGACCTATTACGTTATTCGGTTTCACGATAGTAGGTTGTTCGCGAGGAAAATCCTAATAATTATAAATCCTTAAAATTATACTCCAATTGATTAAAAACATCACCGGCGATAATAAATACCTTGTATGCATCTCGATATTCCGGAGTTTCGAGCGGTCGATCATTCAAATGTTCTAATTTAGACACCAACATTTGCATCTCCTCGTCATTTTTTCTGTTCTCTTCCTGATCCTTTGTATACTTATTCGTTTCATTGTCTTTAAGTTGTTCAGCTGTTTCTCGCAACAGCTCTTTAGCACTCTCCGTGCTCTGAGACAAGATACTATGTAAATGTGACTCTTTTGACTGCAATCTATCTATAATCGTAACTTGCAGGAGCAAAACCAGGAACAAAAGAAACAACGATAATAAGATCGCAGTGCGCTATTATTTTGGTAAAGCATGCCTTAATAATTGTTTGTTAAACCATCTTGATTCACTTTTTAAAATGACACTTACCATTATTATTTTGAATTTTATAATCTCTGAACACATCAGTATATTCCGGCACAAAAAAGATATTTCCCTCGAGTTTCAAGTTCGTGTTTCGTCTTAACAATTCTGGTCTTCGTACACCTACAAACGGAACATACTTGTTTTTATTTTCTGTCTCAGTTTCTAACTCACCTTCCATTTTCAGATGCGTAGGCACACGCATGAGCGATGGTCGACTGACGGAAAGCCATTCGATAAATTTCTCGCACTTCTCCGTCATAGTATTCAGATCGCCCTCCATCTTCAAGAACGTGGATCGACGAGCAAGCTCAGGCCGATGGCGACCTTCGTACGGTATATACGCCGAAAAAGTTTCCGTATCGGTGTAAAACTCCCCGTCGCACTTCAGGCTGGTACTCCTTTTCGCAACGGAATATAAAGAATTCGATTCTTTTCAAGAATATTGTACTACATAGTAAAGGGGTCAAAAGATATAGGTGTGTATCTATTCAATAAAATAAAAAATAGAAAGGAAGCAGTTTCGTTACCAATTTAGTTACGTGACAGTTAGTTTCATGTTTCCTTCAATATATTTAAAAGACATGACAAAATGCAAACTTGCGTGTCTTAGAACAGTGTACTGCACAGACATGAAAAGACTAATAGTCATCGCAAAACTAAATAGAGGACTACATTAGAATTGATTATTGATCAATCTATTATGGAAATATTGCTTAATTTTTTTAAAGACTAATGTCATTGTAAAATATTAAATGTTTTTTAAAAAGCAGTTTTTTAAATAAAAAGTTCACTGGTTTTTTTAATGTAATAGATATACCTTCTCTTAAGCAACGAACGTTCGAAGGACTTGACTTGTAAGGTATCTGTTATTTTTATTTTTTCATTTCTATTAGTCAATTGAGAAGCATTTTCGTTTGTTGCAGGTGGTTTTTCCATTGCTTTGTACTTTTTAAAATCTATGTGATACGAAGACAGAGCATCTATATGTAAATTATCTTTATTTTTTTCCGTTATGTCTTTTACCAGCCAAGTATTTTCCTGTCACAAGTATAATTTATATACATATAACAAAATTTATATATATATTTATAAACTATATATGTAAACTATATACTTATGTTTCTTTTTGTTTTGTAAATAAACTTCTAAATAATTATAAGTAACTTTTAAATACCTCAGATACTTCTCCGATATTTATACCGAAAGCACGGCGATATTCAGACGCAAGATTTTGAGTAATTGATTTCTGGTCAGACTGAAAATAGTCCTTCGGTTGATTTTGCACCTTTCTCTTTCGATAGCGAGCCAATTCATCAACTGTCAGTCTGTAAAACGGCCATCTCTCCTTGGGTTTGCTCTTACGTTTCTTCTCTTCGTTTTTACTGTGTATTATCTTGACACTCGAGAATGGTTTCTCAACGCGACGACGGGAAGATGTTTGTCTGATTTTAATTTCAATCACAAAGTGACATCATTTATTTGATAGAAAATTTATTTAAAGTATCAAATAATGTATCGTAAAAATATATTCAGGATAAAAATATATTTAGAATGAAAGAATGAGTGAAAAGACCAGACAACTCACGACGTGAAACGAACGAACAACACGAGCTTACTGAAGATAACGAGAAATCGAGGTCGCGAATTAGGGATACAAAAGAGTGAGTCAACCGGAGTAATGTAAGAAGGAAGAGAATAATACGAAGGTATTTGTGCATATCGTTTCAGCAATAGCTCTTTTCAAACCAATCGATCTGTGCAGAACGCGCAGCTTGTAAAATAAATCTCACATTGTGACTTGATGACACGTGCGCACGTTAGCAATTTATATCTAATAATACAATATCTACAAGAATTTTAGATATTGTAGATTCCGTAATTGGAAATAAAAGAAATCAACATAGTTCGGATTATGTTTTTAGCGTGTTCGAATGATCTAACTTCAAACATATTTCTTTTAAGAGATGTGAATTTAGATAAATATGTATGCATATATAAAAAGTGTGATTACACAGTTCAAACATACGATTGGTTTGCACATATATTTTGTATGTCTATTTAATTTTTCCGCTTATTTTATTTTGGGCGTATAATGCCAAAGTTCATTTAACCCAATCAAAGCATTTAACCCAATGACCTGAATTTTAAACTTTTTATCCTTACATAACAACCTCTCTTCCTCGACAGAATTATATGCGCGGCTAAATTAATGTCTGAACTACGAAATCGCACGCATCGATGGACCTACGATGTTGTATATCGTCGGTCGGTCAGTTCTTCTACAGTCTCAGTGCGTGATTCAATCTGAACGCATTTTACAAAACCGCTTGTGCTTGCACGCAAGCTTTCTAATAGATACTATACAAGAAATTCAGGCCGTGCAAAATCCAACTCTCATGTCTGGCCTTGAGTTCTAGTTAGAAGTATAAACACTTTACATGTTGCTAATATATTTTATTAAAATATTTTAATACTTTGACAAGAAGAGACTAGTAAAAGAGACGCTTGTGTATTTATCTTTTGAATATACATTACTCTTACATATATGTAAATAAATTTATTAACACTTCCCTAATAGGCAAATTGTAAAAATATCGCACAAAAATGGCATCATGAATAACGACGATCTTGCAATGATTGCACTAAGATGATTCGCCATAACGCAACAGTTTTGTCGAAATAAACTTTTGTAAATAATATTTGTCAAAAATTGCGAAAAAGTCGATATGCATTTCCATAAGTATATACATGAATTAAGTTGATTTCTTCATATGCAATTATATTTTTCTACGTATTTTAAACATCACATAGCTGAAATTTTTTTCTCAATTATTGGACAATTTTTGTTTGAAATTAATTTTGTAAATATACTGCTAAGATGATTCGTCATATCATTATTCTTTTGCCGAAATAGTATTTGGAAAGTAATTTTGCAAACAACTACAAATATTTTATAAAAGATCAATGTTTTTACATCTATTTCCTAAAATATATCTGTATAATTGTAAATTACAATTTTAATGCAAGATTTCGTCACATAATTTTGTAAATGTTTTCCTATCAGAGTTTATGTTTTTTTTAGAAAAATGTTTTTCTAATTAAGTTTTTAGTATACAGATTCAAAAGAGATAAAGTCAGATGTAAAATAAAGATGTTTAATGTAAAATTGTTAATTTGTCACATATTTGAGAAACAAGCAATATATTAATAAATAATAATCATAAATTTTGATCAATATTAGTTTAACAGATATTGAAAAACAAACAAACTGAATAAACTTCTAAAGTCACACGCTAGGCTAAACAACAATATAAATATATTTTAAATCGTAACTAAAATATACGTACATGTGTGTGTGTGTGTGTTTGGGTAAAAAAAATGTTCAGTATAAGGGAGGATGTTCCGATGACCTTGATCTTGACATATGTTGTCAAGGATATGTCCCTGAGTAACAATGTAAAGGTTTTAGCCGTTGCTCATTGTTCAATAAAAAGTTATAAACAAAACACATTTCTTTAAGAAATTTTCGTTTTTCAACATCTTAAGACTACTTTTTCTGTTATTTTTGTTTGTATTGTAAGCATGTAGACAAAGGGGAGCTAGGCTCCCCTCGCAGGGAGAGCTCCCTTCCAAAAAAACCTAATTTCGGCTAAGTTTTTCTTAACATTGGATGGAGTTAGATCTAGTCCGGGGAAACAGGAGGAGGAACGAAGCCTCCCTGCCTACCCGTTTATAACACAAACATAGTACGTGAACGTTTCATGTTCGAAATACATTATTGAATACAATTTATTGAATATTGTTTTCATTCAATGAATACAAAGTAGCTATAATATTGAAAAACATATCAATCCTATTTTTTGTAAGTCTATTAAAGCACGTGCAAACCATGTCCCTGTTAGGACACTAATTTTAAAATTACACATCTGCGGCTTTTGTTTTCTACCACAAACTTGCTTATAATATGTTTTTGTGCAATAAAGAATTAAAGATTGACATTATATGTCCAAATAAATCATTGCATTGCATCGCAGGCACTTCACTTTTCTTCGTATAACTTTCTTTGTTGCTAACTAAGCAATCAATTCAGGATAATTATGAGTTAAACTCGTGAAATAACATAGCAAAAACTCGTGGAATAACATAGCGAGTTAGATTGACAGATCACTACTTCATGTTCCGAAATATTCGAAATATCAACTGAAAAATAGTTGATCATACTGACGTATACGTGTAACTAAATCATCAAATTCGGAATGTTCTCGGAAATGATAGGGGAAAATATTCGTAATCGATTTCGTACTTCTACATCATTTTACTGAAAATAAATATCATAATTTTCAAACATTTTTTGCTAAAAACTTTTTAATGAAAAACAAGCGACGGCTAAAATCTTTCGATTGTTATTCACAAGAGTGTTCTTTACAATATATGTCAAGATTAAGGTCATTGGAGCATCCTCTCCTATACTGAACATTTATCACATTTTCAATTATCTATATATATTTAAGAAACTAATATAAAGCAGTATATGATGTAGATGTATCTGAGTTATTAATTCTAGTATGTAAGCGTATCTAATTGTGAACATGAGATTAGATAGTTTTTGATGTTAAAAACAGATTATTTAGTTAATCATCACGATATGCTTACCACTTATCAAATTACTGAAGTTTAGTGAAAGTATATTGTATATATGAAATTTAAGAAAACATTGTGTAAGAGGAAGATACTTGTAAATCATTTTCAAAATTAAGTAATATCGATTAAGGTCACAATTACACTGAGATCTTATGATATGATATATAGAAAAGTACATACAGCGCGCGCGCGCACACACACATACCCACCTACCCACTCACCCATCCACACGCACATACACATCCTTATATTTTATATAAAAATATAAGGTATATTACGTGTATATTTTAAAATATATTATAAAAGAAATAAGGAAAATATTTGTACTTAGGCTTTGTTTAGTTATTGCTGGCAGTACTGAAAATCTATAGGTTCACGTTACGTATTCTATAGATTTTTCAGTATTGTCAGTAATAACCGAACAGGACCTTAGTATATAAAGTAATGCATTTATCTGGCAAAAAGTTGCGCAAAATGTTACCTCTTATCAAAACAATCATTTGTGCTTTTATCCATTGCATCGTCTTATCCAATTTGTTTTTCGACAGATACAAGGTAGTGACAGTTACTAGAGAGTTAGAGAGTACTTGTTTTTCTGGATGTCCGAGAAGGTAAAAGCAAACTAAGCCTTCTTTAATATAACTAACTTTTCAGAGGTGCTAATAACGAAGTGTCGGTTGGTATCAATACACTTGCGCAGTTGCGAAAGTTACTATGTTCTGCAGCAGGGTAGTAAATAGTCGAGGAAAGTATCGACGAAGTTGCGAATAATTACTAATAAAGAAATTGAAGTTTCTACGAATAAAAGGAAACTTTTACTTAAATAAGAGAGAAAATGCAAAAAATATAATTTATACATCATATATTGTAAATAAATAAAAAAATACATAACTTTGAAATACAATCTGATTTATATATCTGATTTATGTTTTTTTAGACTAGAATTCTTATATAAAAACATTAAATATAAGATTATATAAATATATCGTTTTTTTTTAACTATTTGGATTAAAAAATATCAAACTTAAAAAAACATTTGAGCTTTCAAATTGCAAACAATTTTGTGATTGTTTTCGTGCTGTCTAAATACAATAGTTGGAAAATGTTATTCACCATATAGTCGTTCCTTTCAATTTACATAAAAAGTTTTAAAACATAATCACAAACATTTTTATTTAAAAAACTCTTAAAGTAACACTTTAAAGATACATATAAACAATATATATATATCAAGTGTATTTATACATTAGTATAGAGAGAAACAATTACTACAATAAATATATTTTTAAATCTTTACCTTGCAATATAAATAATTTATATGTATTGATATTTTCTCATACAACACAATAAAATTATCTAAGTACTTAATGTGGTATTTCATAGTCTCTGTCTATCATACATAGTTAGCACATTTAGTTTTTTCAAAGAAAGCATTACCACGTTAAGCAAAGAACATATTTTGCGCGCGCGGTGTGTGTGTGTGTGTGTGTACATATATACATATATACAGGGTATCACATTTAGGTTGATACAACAAAAAATCTTGTAGACATCTGATTTAAAAAAAATTAAGCTGACACATGTCTTTTAGTATTTTGAGTGGAAATTCAAATGGCACTATTAGATTTTAATGAGTGGATGTTTTCAAGGTCAACTTTTTTTGTATCATAAACCTATATTTTTTATTTCGGAATTTTATTTTACGTAAAACATCGCATAACTTTAATCTTCTAAACATTTTTTTGTAGGATCTCTGTTTTATAAGATATTCAAAAAAACGGCTTTTCAAGTTTATGTTGAAACCATATGTTCCGTCTGGCAGCTAGGCTTAAATCTTCTACTGTGACTGTGTTTACAAATGTATCTGATAGAAGAGCTACAGATCAAAACAAATCAAGTTAAAGAATTTAGTCTAGGAAAGACTGCATCGCTACATTTACGTAGACGTTCATTGTCGTATACGATTTAAGTGTAAATGTTAGTTACATTTCCTAGACTAAGTTATTCAACTTGATTTGTTTTGATGTGTAGCTCTTCTATCGAATATATTTGTAAACACAGTCACAATAGAAGATTTAAACCTAGCCTAGCTGACAGACGGAACATATGGTTTCAACATAAACTTGAAAAGCTGTTTGTTTGAATATCGTACAAAACAGAGGTCCTACAAAAAAATGTTTCAGACTAAAGTTGTGACATGTTTTACATAAAATAAGATTCCGAAATACAAAATATAGGTTTACGATACAAAAAAAGTTGACCTTGAAATGGTTTTGAAAATATCCACTTATTAAAAAACTAATAGAGCCATTTAAATTTCTAAATACTAAGACATGTGTCAGCTTATTTTTTTTTCCATCAGTTGTCTATCGAGATTTTTCGCTGTGTCACGTTAAATGAAATACCTTGTACGCATATATCATAGACATATATAGGCAAATCCACTGTAGTTTTACCTTTGATGAACTTTTTAATACTGATAAATCTTAGTTGATTTTCATACGCATAAGACGAATTTTTTTTCATATACTTTCTAACGTATAAAAATGCAGAGTGTTTGTGTTATTGCTGGCGTTTAAAACACTGATAAATCGATAAAACTATAAAAAATCATAAAATTCATTTCGTCTTTTTCTAATTTGTGTTTCACTCTTAATAACTTTACCTACGCCGTGTTATATAACGCTTTCGTAATAAATGGAAAAGTTAGTTCTTGCATTCATACATCTTTTCCCTGAAGGTCGATCATGTGTCATATAACCGTAAAAAATGGTGGCCGCTGAAAAACTTGTTCCTCCATTTTTGCAAAATATTAATTTTCGTAAAGTTAACAATATTACATACGCGCCGTTAAGTTAATTGACTAATTGAGTTACTGAAGTTGTAACAAACACAACAAAAATGTGAAGACGTTGTTGAAAATTGTGCCTCAAAAATGTAACACACACTAGAATATCAAAGATTGCCTTCAAAAGCGTAAATTCATTGAAAAATCCATAAATCACGTTGGCACCTATTCCGAGAAAAAATTTTTTCAGTCCATATTAACTGTAAACTCTTTCTTTTACCATAACTTACCACGGAATCCATGTGGCTACAATTTTCAAATTTTACTAGTTATGACGTTAAGAGTGCGTAATTTAAACATGATTGCAATGTAAATGTAAGTCGACTTCAATCAGGTAAACTGCGCCGTTTACTTAAAACCATTAACGCGAGTAGATTGGTGTTTTTGAATCTATTTCAGACATATTAATCAATATAAGATGTATGTGCCGCAAATTTGAAAAAAAAAAAAAAAATAAATAAATAAATTTTCATAAAAGTTAAAACTGCAGATTTACCCATATATAGACAAGAAATTGCGAGATATTGTCGCATTGTCGATCGCCGTTTTCATTCTGTCTATATATATACAGGGTGTCCGACAATTACTTTAACATCTCTCGTAGGCAGATAGAAGAAGTAAAACTGAGTCGAAAAGTCCTGAACCATTTTTTTCTATTACATATAATAAAGGAGTAATTATTGAATAAATCAAGCCAATCAGCGCCGACCTTTACCCTTAGCCGGGCTCACGTCAGTGAGCCGCGCAGAGAGCTCACGCACACCAGACGTGTGGTTCACTGACGTGCGTCCGGCTAAAGGTCGGCGCTGATTGGCTTGATTTATGCAATAATTACTCCTTTATTTTATATGTAATAGAAAAAAATAGTTCAGGATTTTTCGACTCAGTTTTACTCCTTCTACCTGCCTACGAGAGATGTTAAAGTAATTGTCGGACACCCTGCATATATATATATGTGTGTGTGTGTTACACACAATTCTAATATATACGACTATATGTTATAATGGCGGTTTATGGGCTTAGTTGATAGAAAAACCCATATGCAGGTATGAAAAAATGAGTTTGGTAAATGTTAATTTAGTTCGTGTTTTTTTGTATCTGTACATACGCATTAGAAATTATTCGAAATATTTAATATCACCTCCTTGACATACGATTGATAATCTACTGTCGAGTATTGAACGCATCCGATCATCATTCAGTACTGCACAGCCAATATTCGGTGATAGCTGATACAACATGCAGATGCAATCTTCCAGGTTCTGCATGATTGCTCGATCGAACACTGGTGTTTCTCTTAAGTCAAAGTGCAGTTTTAAAAATGCTGTATAAAGCGGAGTACAATGTGCTGGTATTCGTAGACGAAATATCGAAAGAAACGTCTTCGCAGCCTAAATGAAAACATCAAATAAAAGATTTGTTGGTTGATATATTGCATAATATACTGTTGTATTTTTTTTTAAATACATACACACAAACACACACACACACACACACACACGGAGTACCTCCAATGTTGCTTTTAATGTCTTTAGATCCACGTGATGTTCACAATACTCGGTGAATATGCGAGTGAGCGCTTCGCACCACTTGGCACAGCCCATATTTGTGATAAGTTGTGGTAAACTTGACATATATGCATGTCGTAATTCAATATTTTGCTCAAATTCCATGTTGTCTATTAACGAAGAAAGAACGTCATCACGTGTTGTCCACTACAAAAATATAAATTTTTAGTTTTGAATAGTAAGCACATTAATAATCTAACGCACTTAAATTTACTTCATATAGAGTTTTACTGCGGTCCCAGAATTCAATAGTTTCTAAAAGTTTGGCTATGCAAAAATACAAAGGAATAATATATCTTGCTTCTTTCTGACGAGTCAACTTTTCCAAAGCATGATAAATCACTTTAGCATAGCCAGTTTCTACTAATCCTTGTTTCTGAAATAGTCAGTTAATAAAAAAGAAGAGATAAGTATACATGTATAAAAATCAGTAAGTAAGTTCTTACCAGAAAAGAATGCTGTATAATTTGATATGTACATTCTAGGCCTATTATTATATTGTCAGGAAAATAATCATCAAGAATAAGTAGTGCTGTAGGCAAGACATCTCCAATATGATCATATAATGTTGGGCTCTGGCAACAAGAAAAAAGCCACAATATAAATACATGATCTGATACAACATTAATTCTTTTGCTACAGCTAAACTAGATATAAAGCTGTATTGCTGTACAGACAGTTCCGCAGCAAAATACAAATTAACAATATTAAAAAATGTAAAAACATGTAAAAACATTCCTGTATTGTTATAATACTTATGTAGTTTTTAATGTAAAATAAAACGAGCCATTATAGTAGCTATTTGTTTTAAAAAATCATCTAGTAGAAAGCCACTATTGCATAAGGTTTAAAAAGCTAAAAAATGTTTGATATACCGGAGCTTCTTGTAAGATCCATCGATAACATGCTACAGCTGATGGATAGGTTTTCCAGGCATCCTTCAATAACTTCGGTCTGAGCATTAACAATAAATTACTTAAATTCTCATGCTCTGATAAAAACTTAGAGATGTTTTGACAAGCGTAGAGACTGCAGAAACCTGCTGTTAAGTCCTTAGAAATGGAAACACACTCAGTAGTATTCCAAACGTTCTTCTCAGTGTGTTCCCCTATAAGTAACAACAGATTCATGCTGAACGTTTTAGCCACTCCTTTAGCATTGCACAGTTGCAAGTGCTTCTCTCTGTAGCAGTTGGACATGTGTTGCAGCATAGACCTGACATTACGCAAGTTTCTTTCGACGACTAGCCTGTACTCTCTGTAGTCTTTCTCTTCGCACGGACGTTCCGTTCCCACTATTCTTTGTGGTGCAAAACCTTTTTCGATCAGTTCGATACGTGACTCCCACGAAAAGTAATCTTTGCACAAATCACCTCTGATCTCCAACGCCTCTAGCTCTTTCACCACGTTATCCATGTTTATGGATATCGTTTACGGATATCGCGGTCGAATACAACTAAACCAAAGATATTGAATATGTTAATGTTAACAAAATCTCTATCGCTTTAAGTTGTCAATGTTAACCTCGCTATTGTTAAAACTCCTTTGACCTCACTTTAGTTGCTTTTCAGCTACTAGGCTGCAATGGCTGCATTGCCTGCATTTGAGGAGCGTGCTATTAGCGCTGTTGCATCATTGGGTGCGTTCAGACAACTTAACAGTTGCACTGCAACCGACGGCAGAACTGCAGGCGCACGAACAAATCCTATTGGGCGAGGACCGCCAAGAGAGGGAGCGGTATGCGAGAGACGCTGCGCAGGCGCTAGAGGCAGAAGCAGACGACGCCATGGCGCAGCTGGAGAGATTGATGGAGATGGCGCAGGAGGGCGCGCAGCACCCGGATGAGGATTCGGAGGGCAGCACCATCGGCGCGAGCGACCCGTATTGGGAAGGCCGCGAAATTTAAACGCTAATTAAAAAGGAAACCAAGAAACAAAGTAGAATTTAGGATGTAAATGTATATAAAATTATTATGGTGATGGGAAATGAATAAAAAGTTATTATTAATACCATATCTGTTATTAGATAGTATAATTAGGAGATTAGATTAGAAGAAGCCGAAAGGTTTGCTTTAATGCGTTTTCTTGTACTATTATTATCATCGTTGTTATATTGTAATTATTAAAATTTCGGTGAACAAGAGAGATTAAGCAAAAGAAAACACAAAGGCACGTAACTAGAAATAAATAGGAAAATTAGAATAGGATTAATGAAGGAAGTAGGAGAAGACTGAAGAGAACATTCTCGAACGTTCGGGGTAATAGTAAAAAAGAAAAAAAGGAAAGGTTAAGAACAAAAAAATAGAAGAAAAGAATAAAGCTAGGCATTAGACAACAGAAGCGATAAAAAAAATTTTTTAAGAATTATAAGTTAATAAAACATACCCCCGAAGCTTCGAGAAGGTCTAGGCGAGAGGGGGAAGGCGCAATATAAGGGAGCGAAACGAGACGGGAAAGATCGTCAGGAAAAGATCGGCCTAGTGGAAAGATCGAGGAAAACTCGTGGGTAACACAAAAAAAAAATCGACCGCGGCGATACGTGTTAAAAAATCATACGCGTAATTAAGAAAACGCACCGATATTGCAAATTCTGCAAGTAAAGAAAAGTTGTGTAATAGTGGGATAAAGTTTAATGTTCGTGGAGGTTGTATAAAGTTTAGTGATAGAATAAAAATTTAATTCACGCGAATAAAGTTGTCTCATTAATTAAAAACCCCTGGTGGAGTGTTTCCTTGAATGCACAACGGCACCTCGTAAGGCGAACCGCGCATATCCTACAGTCCAGGCTGATTGGCCATGAACAAGTAGCTAACGGAAACGATTG